AGTTGATTAGGGTTTTTGAGTTTCTGCTATATATAGATTGTTCTAGTTCTATGTAATTGCTAAGAAGAAGAGTCTTATAAAAAGTTGAAGTTTTTATTTGCTTTCAAGAGGTTTCACCTTGTTCACATGGTATCAGAGCGCCGGCGATTCCAACTTCAGGGATGGCAAGTGACGCAACGATTCAACCTACCCCTACAAACACTCCATGAGCTTCACCTGCTCAGACTCCACCAGCTCCAACAAGAAATCCATCAGGCCAGGATCGAGCTAATACGGTTACAGATAGAGCACCACCACAGACAGACACAGCTCCTCCGCCACCTTTCAGAGCTCCGACGTTCACACCAACTATGCAGACGGTTTCTCAGGTTCCAGTCTCGCCATCTTCGTTGAACATCACTCAGTTTGTCACGTTGAGGCTCTCTGGCTCTAACTACCTCATGTGGAAATCGCAAATGGAGATTTGGCTGTCAAGTCAGTGTCTTGTGGGTCATGTTACCGGAGGCACACCGAGACCACCTTCAACAACAACAGTCCTTTTTGGTAACATGAGGTCAGAGGTCCCTAACCCAGAGCTACTTGTCTGGATTCAAAATGATCAGGCTGTCATGGGATGGATCTTTGGCTCACTTTCTGAAGAGGCTCTACGCTCAGTCTTTGGCCTACGAACTGCTCAAGAGGTCTGGTTCTCTCTAGCTCAAAAGTATAATCGTGTGTCTCTTACTCGGAAACTGAACATTCAGAGTAAGATTCAAACTACGGTTAAAGGAGATAGGCCCCTACCTGTGTATCTTGCTGAGGTCAAAGATCTGTGTGACCAACTTGAAGCTATTGGAGCACCAATTTCAGAACAAGAAAAGATCTATGGAGTTCTGCATGGTCTTGGTCGTGACTATGAACCAATAGTCATCTTTATTGAAAACTCCATGGACTCGCAACTTGGCTGTTCATTCAAAGAAGTTGCTCACCGGCTCTTGGGCTTTGATGAAAAGCTTCAGAACTATGTCACAGCCTCTGAATCTGTCACTCCTCACTTAGCTTTTCAGACTGGAAAGGCTGAGCACTCTAAAGACCAAACTCACACACATAACTTTTCTTACAACCGAGGCAGAGGTATCAACTACAGAGGCAACTAATACCGTGGTCGTGGATCTTACACTACTCGGGGAAGAGGCTTTCAGCACCAGTTTCCATCAGGATCGAACAATGACAACAAGCCAACATGTCAAATTTGTGGCAAGTATGGTCACGCAGCATTAGATTGCTACAAGAGGTTTGATCAGAACTACTCTTCTGATAATGTTCACACGGCTCTGGCTGCATTGAAACTCAACTCAGGCCATCAGTCTTCTGCACACTCAGGCCAAGAATGGTATCCGGATACTGGGGTAACATCCCACATCACGAGCACATCCTCTCATTTGTCTCATTCTCAACCATACACAGGAGATGATTCGGTGGTAGTTGGTAATGGTGACTTCTTGCCCATAACTCACATTGGCTCTGCAGTTCTCAACTCCTCTCAAGGTAATTTACCTTTAGCTGATGTTCTTGTTTGTCCGGGTATAGCAAAGTCTCTATTGTCTGTGTCAAAACTAACAGCCGTCTATCCTTGTGAGTTTGTGTTTGACTCTGCATCTGTGGTTGTTCAGGACAAGAGAACAAAGCAGACGTTAACCCGAGGCAGCAGGCATAAAGACTTGTATGTGCTGGAGAACAAAACCTGTTTTGCGTTCTACTCCAATAGACAACAAGGTGCAAGCTCTGAAGTGTGGCATCAGAGACTTGGTCATCCAAATAAGGAGATTCTTCAGCGACTTACAAGCAGTAGTTCAATAGTAATGAATAAGGCAGCTTCGCGTTTGTGTGAGGCTTGTCAGATGGGAAAGTTCAGTAAACTTCCTTTTCTTTCTTCTGAGTATGTAGTAACTAGACCTCTAGAACGGATTCATAGTGATCTCTGGGGTCCATCGCCTGTACCTTCTTTGCAAGGATTTCAATATTATGTTATCTTTGTTGACAATTTCTCTCGGTATACTTGGTTATATCCACTTAAACGCAAAGCCGACTTCTTCTCCGAATTCTTAAAGTTTCAGGCCCTGGTTGAAAATCAGTTACAACATAAGATTCAAATATTTCAAAGTGATGGAGGGGGTGAGTTCATCAGTACTCCATTCATTACTCATTTACAAGCCTGCGGAATCAAGCACCTTCTTTCGTGTCCATACACGCCTCAGCAGAATGGATTAGCTGAGAGAAAACACAGGCATATCACCGAGTTAGGACTCTCCATGATGTTTCATAGTAAAGTTCCTCCTAAACTGTGGGTTGAAGCATTCTTTACAGCCTGCTTTTTGGGAAATCTGCTCCCAACTACGGCTCTTGATGGTCATAAGAGTCCCTATGAATGTTTAAACAATCATCCTCCTGTCTATACATCATTGCGAGTCTTTGGATGTTTGTGTTATCCATATCTTAGACCATATGCAAAGAACAAGTTCGATCCCAAGTCATTGCCTTGTGTTTTCCTCGGCTATAATGAAAAATATAAGGGATATCGCTGTTTACAAGTCACAACAGGCCGAGTCTACATCAGTAGACATGTCTTGTTCGATGAGAATCAGTTTCCATTTGCTGCTTCTACCAATACATCAGTCTCAGAGACGCCTTCTTTCAACATCTCTTCGTGGCTCTCTGTATCTCCATCGTCATCTATTGTTACCTCAATCAGTCCATCATCTTTACCTGCAGGATCTAACATCAACTTCTCTTCTGAACCAGTGATGCCTACCTCCAATGTAACAGATAGTACTGAGTGTACGACAGGCTTAGATCCTGCTTCTATAGGCAACAGCTTTCAGGAGGGTCAGGCTCAGTGTCTTCTTCACCGTCTACAGACTCTTCTGCAGGTCATTCTTCTCTGCAATCTACAACTAACAGTTCACTTTCTCCTGCTCAGGCTTCTGCCCAGCATTATAACTCAAGTCCTGTCACTTCTCCAATACCTAGCCCAGAGCTCACAGCTCAACCGACAGGAATCAACGATCATCACATGATCACAAGGGCCAAAGTTGGTGTGTTTAAACCAAATCCGAGATACGCATTGCTCACTGTCAAAGATGCTTATCCTGAACCAAAGACAGTAAAGTCAGCTTTAAAAGATCCAAACTGGACTGCAGCAATGAGTGTGGAGAATGGAACACTGCAGGAGACTAATACTTGGGATCTAGTGCCACCTTACTTAGCTGATAACATACTCGGTTGCAGGTGGATCTTCAAGACGAAACTCAGATCTGATGGCACCTAAGATAGACTGAAAGCACGTTTAGTAGCCAAAGGCTATGATCAAGAGGAAGGAGTGGATTTCCTGGAAACATTCAGTCCCGTTGTTAGAACTGCAACCATACGATCTGTGTTACACACTGCAGTAACACAAAGATGGGATATTAAAAAACTTGATGTGCAAAATGCCTTTTTACACGGAGATTTAAAAGAGACTGTGTATATGGTTCAGCCACCAGGGTTCGAGGATCCCGATCGACCAGACTATGTCTGCAAGCTCAAGAAAGCCATCTATGGCCTTAAACAGGCTCCTCGAGCTTGGTTTGATCGATTTAGTACATTTCTCATCAAGTTTGGTTTCATCTGCAGTATACCGGATCCATCTCTCTTTGTTTACATCAATGGAGATGATGTTCTGTTATTGCTTCTCTACGTTGATGACATGATCTTAAATGGAAACAACAATGAGTTAATTCAGAAACTCTTAGTTCATCTCAGTTCTGAATTTCGAATGAAAGACATGGGAGCTTTGCATTACTTCTTAGGAATACAGGCTCACTTTCACAAAGATGGTTTGTTCCTATGTCAAGAAAAATACACAATGGACTTGCTCACAACAGCGGGTATGGCTGACTGTTCTCCAATGCCAACCCCACTGCCTCTGCAACTCGACAAAGTACCTGGTCAAGATGCGGTCTTTACTGACCCAACCTATTTCCGGAGTTTGGCTGATAAGCTTCAATATTTGACGCTGACTAGGCCTGACATTCAGTTTGCTGTCAATCTAGTTTGTCAATGTATGCACTCACCCACAGTTGCAGACTTCAGTCTTCTCAAACGCATATTGCGATACTTGAAGGGAACATTCTCAATGGGCATCAACCTGGATGCCAACACTGATTCCACACTCCGAGCCTATAGTGACAGTGACTGGGCTAACTGCAAGGAGACTAGGAGGTCCACGGGTGGTCTCTGCACGTTTCTTGGCACAAATATTATATCATGGTCCGCCAAAAGGCATCCTACAGTTTCAAGATCTTCTACAGAAGCTGAATATCGGACTTTGTCTATTGCAGCAACTGAACTTAAGTGGATCAGCTTTCTCCTTCAAGCCATTGGTCATCCGCAACCTGATACTCCTGAGCTCTATTGCGACAATCTCTCTGCAGTATATCTCACTGCAAATCCGGCTCTACACTCCAGGTCTAAACACTTTGATGTTGATTTTCACTATGTTAGAGAGAGGGTAGCTCATGGTGCTTTAGTGGTTAAACATGTCCCTCGGCATCTTCAGCTGGCAGACATCTTCACAAAGTCCTTGGCATAGACTCCATTTGCAGAACTACGGTTCAAACTTGGTGTTGATGTGCCATCAACCACAAGTTTGAGGGGGTGTATTAACAATACAGAGAAACTTCTGGCTCCAACAGAGTCTTTGAATCAAGACAAACAAAGGCTGAAATTCACACAAGCCCAAATCCAATCTCATACACAGAAGCCCACGCAAGCCCAAGTTCATATCCTCTCTCACAACGGTCACAAACACTCTGCTTTATCAAAAGCAGTCAAGAGTACGGCAAAGACAACTATGGAAGCAGACAAAGAGCTGGTTTTACACAAACCGATTTAATGCCTTGAATATCAGTGAGAACTTGTCGTGTAGTTGATTAGGATTTTTGAGTTTCTACTCTATATATAGATTGTTCTAGTTCTATGTAATTGCTAAGAAGAAGAGTCTTATAAAAAGTTGAAGTTTTTATTTGCTTTCAAGAGGTTTCACCTCGTTCACATCAGCCTGAGCTGAATTTTGGGGATTTCTGTCTGAAATTTATTATTCTTCGGTTTTGTTTATTTTTCTTACGCAGTTTTCAGATAGTGTTGCTTAGGTTGGTCGCGAGCTATATGTTCGTAATACTTATGTCATATTTGTTCCTTAAACCTTTCCTCATCTGTTGTCTACTTATCTAAGTTAATCATAGTTTTTTTCATCATCTGTCTGTCTGCATTTGTGAAGTTTTGGAATATATGTCTCAAATTCTTAATTCTAGGGTTTCCGAATAGTGAATTTCTTATTTTGGGATCGTAAGCTATATGTTTTTCTGAAACTTTCTTTCTTCATTTGTTGTTATGCAGAATAGTAACTACAGAAAGAAGACAAATGGTTGATAGAAGGAAATCGAACCAGGCTCGTTTCAAAGGGTTGAGCAAAGATAAGACAAGCGAATTACCTGATCCTTTGATCTGTCAGATACTTTGTCATCTTCCCACAAAGGATGTTGTGAGGACAAGCGTTTTATCCACCAGATGGAGGAGTTTCTGGCATTGGGTTGGAATTAAATTCCCAATAATTTACAGATTTAAGTACATTTGTGATTTTTGGTGACAGATTTTTTTATTCGAGTAGGGCTTCATGCATAGACAAACTCAAGTTAACCATTTCTGGAAATGAAGACAATGTAGATGTTGCCTCTTCGTTCACCTCATCGCTTGATGCTGTAGTTAAGCGTAAGATCCAAGATCTGTATGTTATATGTCTGGCAAAGTCCTATGAGATGCCCCCAAGCATTTTTAACTGTGAGACACTGGTATCCTTAAAGCTCAATTTTGAGCCCTTTGCTAGTGCCGAGTTTGTTTCATTACCATGTCTGAAGACTTTGGATTTAGAGTATCCCAATGAGGCCATTTTCGGGAGACTTGTCTCCTCCTGCCCTGTCCTAGAGGAGTTAAATATTGTCATATTTGCCATCGTTCGGGTGCTCTCTAAGTCGTTGAAGAGCCTCAGTATATGTATACTCTTTAGTTGTTCAGCAGGAGTTGTAATTGATGCTCCTCAACTGTGCTTTTTTAGCATCAAATATAAATTATTAGAAAGCTTTGTAATAGTCAATATAGATTCCAAAGCCAAGTTATACCTTGATGTTGACTTTCAATTTAACTTTTTTTACAAACCAATCTTTTCATCAGACAGAGATAGACTCCGCAGTTTTCTCCCTGTGATTTCAAATATCAGGGATATGACAGTATCGGAAAACACTTTCAAGGTATATATGTTGATTCTGGTCTTGGACATGTACATTTTTCGATCATGAAAGTTTCTGACCCACATTCTTTTTCTTTTTGGTTTCAGCTCTTCTATCAATACTCGAAATTTGAACCGTTCCCTCAGTTTGGTAACATGTCCCGCCTGCATGTCACTCTCTGCGTATCCAATTTGATATGGTTACCAAACTTTCTTGAGAGCTGCCCAAACTTGAAATCCCTAACCATGGTGATGTTCTGGTGAACCTTATGAGTTTTGCATTTCTATGAAAGATTCTTTGCTATTGGCGTTTGAACCCTCTTTTTATTCATCAGGTATGCAGTGGTGGTTATGACAAAATAAATGAAATCAGCTTTTCATCTGTGCCTGAGTGTTTTTGCTATCGTCTGTCGAGTTTGTTGAGCTGAAAGACCCGAATCGGGGATATGTTGCTGAAATGGAGCTAATAAGATACTTCCTAACAAATTCGGTTATCCTCAAAACACTCACTCTGTGTTTGGATTCTTCTTCATCAAAAGATGACATCTTTAAGAAACTCCTCAAAATCCCAAGAGGCTCTACCGAATGTGAAGTCCTGATCCTCTGATTGGTAAAGAGTATAGGGAACATAGTGAGGTTGTCTTCTATATGTAATCGGTTGATGTAGGTGTAGGCTCTCGTTTGTTCCTCCCCATTTGTTCCTTTGAGTACATCGGTTCGCTGAAAACCTCGTTGTCTTTTTGGTGATTTTATGTAAAGACATGGATGAAACTATGACGGTTTGTTAGTGTAATGGCAACTTGGATATGCGTAGCAGTTTTATGGCTACGGTTAGTGCTTCAGCTGGCTTCTACTTAGTTTCTGAATTTCCATGGTCCACCCTAAGTAGGTCAAACGATTTCCAACATCTTCGTGCTCTTCTCTGTGAAGTAAAGGAGAAGTGCTTGGATCTCATGATGAAGTAGAGTGAAAACCATTGTTCATAAGTCGTTCGTTACGTAAATTATCAAATAGAGACCAAATTGTGCGAACAAAACAACAAAAGGGGGAAATAGGGTCACTAACGTTGAAAGAATGTTATGTACACACAAAATTCCATATCAAGAAATCTTAGATTCCTCGAACTTGGGAGGAAAAAAACAAAAAAATAGTTATACACGAAACATGATACAATAAATTACATGTATAGTTGGCGTAATAAACAACTGTCGTACTTTGCATTGTTGATGTTGAACAGCAAGAGTCAGGTTTAAGCTGGATCGGTTTCAGGTTCAGGATCAGGTTCTTTGCACATACAATCAGGCATTGGGAACGTGTAGAGCGATGCAGCTGGTTTCCTTAATTCGACTCCTTTTGCGTCATTGTGTCTAAGCATATCTTGCATTTGTTTCTTGAAGTAGTCCCATCTTCAACGAAACAAAAACAACCATACAAACCGAGAAAATGATTTGAAGTCGAGGAATCTATAAGTTTGAGGTATGTCAAGTAGGTCAAAAGTAAATTTACCTAATACTCGGTTTATCGAAGAGCTGGACTAGTTTCCGCTTATCGGGTTTGATTGTCTCGGCGTGGCCTTTGTAAAGATAGCGACGGTGACCTATCAAGAAATGGGGGAAGTTTCCACCTTGTGTGGATACAAAGACTTCACTGTGGAGGCATACTGTGTAGTCAAGAGCAGCCAATCTTGATGAGTGGCCCTATAAATTTCACAAAAAAAAACAGCAATGTGTTTATATATTACGTTACTTTTACATTTTAAGCGAGCTAGAATATTAGATAACGATCAAAATCTTTCAAATTCTTCAATGGCATGTTATGGGAGAGCCCACAGGTTTTATGACATTTATTTTATGTTGTCATTTGATACCAATTAATATGAACCTAACATAATGTAATAATAGAATCATTCTAACTTCCACCAACCCATGGACAGAAATTTCTCTTTCCTCTACAATCAATTGGATATATGACACAATTGTCGGAATCATAGTGTTGTAAAGTCCAAATGAGCAAAGAAATTGGCGTTTGATTACCTTAAACGGAGCAAGTTCCTCAGGGGTAGCTAGAGTATCCTTGGTTTGGAGAAGAGGAAACATCTGCCTAAGAGGAGCCATGTATTTGTCCGCTTTGTAAATGTTTCCCGCGGCAACGTAAACCAAGGTGCTATTGTTAAATCCCATCCCTCTGAGAATCATTCCGACCTACAGAGTGATGTTACCAACATATTATAGTACCAAGACTCCTCTTATCCGTAAAGTTGATTTGTGATTTAAAGTCACTAGATAAACTGGATTCAAAATTTTTTCAGAAATCTTGGGGATACCTCCAGAGGGGTTAAAGGGCATTTTCCGTCTATGCGGTTAGCACCAGGCCTAATTACTCTGCCTCTCCTCCTGAACTTTCCTTTCCACCCTCTTTCCCGAGCCATGTCCATTTCCAGCTTCTCCGTCTTACCAAAGTCATATTCGCAACACGAGAAGGCGACCATGTCCTTTGGAAGAAAAGACAATCGAGATTGTGAAAAGATGGAAATACGAGTTACAAAATTGCAGAAATGGAGAATTGGCAGGAACTATGAACCATTTCAAAACGGAGATGAACAGAAACGTATTTTCCTCCGCTCTGAACACTCTTTGTAACCATCCTATTGACCATTTTCTCTGCAAGCAGCCGTATGGGATCTGCAAATCTCAATGCTTCAAAGTTTGCTAAGCATCTGAGCCCTTGAATATGAGCGGGAACCGCATGAGCTAACCTATTGGAGAATGGTGCAACACGAACAGCCCTAATGAAAGAAGACAAAAAGTGTAAGAAAACCCTGCAGTGTGTGCTTAGGTCCCAGTTTTTTCAATTCAAGAAGGAACCTCACGGAAGTGAAAAGACATAAAAGGAAAGCACTCAATAACCAAATTCACATCATGGAGGTATGATAAAACGCAGTCTGTAGTATATTTATACTAATCCTCACACATCCATACAACTTTTTCAAGAGCGAATGCTAGTACTCTAACTTAAACTATCAATCAATTTCCTTTTTCCATGTAGGCTATCTCCTATTCAGTCCAATAAAACCTTATAACTAGAGTGCCAGACACAATTTTTAGGAAGCAATACAGGGACCGCAGAAAAGAAAGAAAAGCAAAATGTCAGAATCTGGCATACCCCAAACGCAAAAGTTGTGGGAGCACCTTCTGGAGATAGTATGCCGGACTGGACCAAGCTTTTAATCTCAAATTAACAATACTGCTTATATTGTAGTTGTACCGCTCAAGTATGTCTTTAGGAAGCTCTTTCACTACATTCACGTTCTTACTAAGAGCATATATGAAGAAATCTTCATCAAATATATCGCCAAATTTGCTGTAACCAACAAAAAAGAGGGGAAAAGCAAAAGGAATATGTAAGTAAATGAAGATTGCAGACATTTTGAACTTATCCAATTCTAAAACGAGAAAATTCCGGTTACTAAATCAAATCCCATGATCACAGGTGATGGAAACTTTAAAAGGCAGCATAACTAGAAACCAATAGTAACCTGGAATCACGCCATACACTGTTTAAGTGAAAAATAGGAATGACAAGAGTAGCATTTAGCAGTCCAGCCACAGCAACTGCATCACATATCTACATCAAGACACGAAATATAGCTCTCTAATCAACAAAAAAAAAAAAAAAAAAACACACTACGCAACCAAAAACGAAACATATTTTGTAGCCATGGAGATTAAAACATACTGACAAGCGTTGTTGATTCAAGCCACCATTTGCTTCGATTATGAAATAACCATTAGAACTTGATCCTGCATAAGCTCAAAAACGCTCAAAGAGTTACCAACCAACTCCACTTACATAAACCCACCACAGTCAAATCCAAAAGACGAAACTCGAACCTGAAGCAGAAACGTTTGTGGTAATGCAAGGTTTCCACATGTTTTTAACTTTTGGCTTCCAAGCCGCCATCAGCTACAACCAGAAGAAACAAAATTCCAAAATCGTCACAAAACAAATTCATCGAATCATGAAATCTAAAAGCTATTCTCCAAAATTTCATTGACATTTACCGCATTGTGACTGCTTCGATTAGCATCAGCCTCCATCACTGGCCAAAGCCGCTTGAAAACCTTGGGGCTTCGGTAAACCGAACCTGGGGGACCTCGTCTGTACACAATCTCAACGCCGTGACCTAGATCGAGGACAGTGAACCCGAACGAGCCCATGAAAAGTAACATCCCGGCGATGTAGAGAAGAGGCGCCAATAGCAACACACCTTTCCGTCGGAAAACTATGGAGAAGAGTAAGAACACGAGCTTCTCTCCGATTCCCTGCTTTTCCGACGACCTGTACACGCCGGCCGAGGTTTTTCCCCTCGTGTGGCGTAATCGAGGCGAAGAAGGAGGTGATGCGATGTGGGATCGACTGTTTCCGTTGCCGTTTCCGTTGCCAAGGCGGCTAGGGCCGTGCATGATCTGAAATCGAGCTAGACCCTAGAAACGGAGAGTGAAGAAGATCTCGGGAAGGTGGATAGATTTGGAAAAAGAAGGTAGCATTGTGTAGTAAATTCCTTCGTGTTCGATGTGGTAGGAGACAAATTGTAGAAAGTTGCAGAGATAGAAACAGACTGAAAACAAAGAGCAAAGAGAGAAGAAGGAGAGAAAGAGTTTGCGTCGTTTCGAGAAATTAACGTCATCACGTGAAGAAAGCAGTGGGGGCTATCTTCTAGGAATTGAGAGTGTGGCGCGTGAGATTTGGACTTTGGTAGTCCTCTTTTTTTTTTGTTTTTTTCTAGTTTTCTTTTTTTTTTGCATTTCATTTCTTTGGTGGTCGTCCTTTTTTAACATTTTAAAATATTTTGTTTCCAAATTAATGTTGATAGTGTGTAGATGGTAACACTCACAAATCACAATATTATCCTCGCGCCAAAAATCATAAAAAAACAGTGGGTTTTATAGTAGTAGTTTTAAGGATTTCTATAAGAATGAGTTTGATTGATAATAGATTGATTGTCCAGCTATAGAAATTGTATGTTTATATATCCTAAACAGTTAATTTCTTATATATTAAACTAAAAAGAATTAAGTTTATAGCAATGATAATTTAAAAATTAGGTTGCTATTAATTCTTTTATTTTTGTTATTTATACAAACTGCCATTGATCTGATTTTTTATTCTTGGGATAATAGTATTATCGTAATACTATTCATTTTGACTGCCAATACTGTTCATCAAACATCGAAAATAAAATTCATCACCAGATAACTATTTAGTTGATATGTTAATTATTATGTTATCATAATAAAATTATATTTAGCGTGTTAACCTCATTATTATATAATATATTAACTTATTAACAATTATCTAATATTTGTAACATGTTAAAGATAATATTTTATATTTTAAATGTGCTAATATTTGTGGATAATATAAAATTAATGTAGTTTGTAATAGATAATTATTTGGTTAACATACTAATATTATCGTGATAAGTTTATGTTTATCATGTTAATCCAATTATCATATAATATATAAACATGCTTACAAGAATATCGGATATACTAATGTGTTAACATATTAAATATTTAGATAATATATGTATTACCGCGCCAGTAAATTGTCAAAGCACAACAATGATGTGCAACCCATCTTTTTCACTAAAGCAGCAACAGCGGAGTCCATTGGAGTAGCAACAGCTGAGTCCGTTGAAGCAATAATATCTGAGTTCGTCTGAGCAGCAACATCTGAGTTTGTTGGAGCAGCAACATTTGTGTCCATCGGGGTAACATCATCAGAGTCTACCGTTTTTGTCTCATCTTCTTTGATTTGTCTTTATCAGAGACAATGAGGGCAAATAGAAGAAAAAAATGAAAAAGAGGCCATTAGAAATAATTTTTCCTCGGGTCATCAGATTCAGGTCGAATGAGATTCGTTAGAGTAAAAGACGCCACGAGAAACACAGCGGAAAAGGAATCAATCTCATAGTGATGAGGAGGATGAGCAATGCCAAAAGTATTCATGTAAAATTACGGGAATGATTTATTGGATTATTTGAGATCGAAAATTGATGAGAGATTTGCCGGAGAGGAAATGATTGAAAACATTAGTGGAGAGAGGCAGATGAGGAGAGACCGAAATTGATGAGAGATTTGCTAGAGAGAAGAAATGATTGAAAACATTAGTGGAGAGAGGAAGATGAGGAGAGAGAATTGATGTGAGGGGTAAGAATAATTTTCTTTACCAAAATACTGTTGACAAAATGGGCATGTTGTTGATTTAATTTTAAGATTATTGCTTATCACGGAATGGTTTATATCCTAAGTATCGAACTATAGTTTTATCCATACTCATAAATACTTGTTAGTGGTGGATCCATAATTTTTTTTTAACAAGGGGCAGATAAATTAACATTCTAATTGGTAATTTGCAGAAAAAATGTTTAACAAAAATAATGATTTGTTTAGGGGATTTTTGGTCCTCCACTGGGGACAAGACTCGTACAAAATAAAAAAAACGTCAGAGTCCAGAAAAAACGATCGGGGTATATTTTCCAAAGGCACTCTGGCGGTCAAGTCAGAAAACAGCTTAACAAAAACCACAATATAGCTGTTCGGAGAGCGAAAAAAAGTCAGAAATTTTTGTGAAGGAGAATGGACCGACCTTGAGAAATGTATGATCTACTCGGGTTTGAGAGTGAGAATGGACTTTTTGCGGTGGAAAAAGAGAAAAGAAAAACCTGAGGGTGAAGGAGATCCACGGTTTAGGAACTGCCGTGGAAGAGAGATGAAATGAGATGACCGGAAAGATGACCGGAAAGATGGCCAGAACTATGTAGAGTGTCTGAGCTTAAGAGCCACAAGTATCTAGAGAGATATCGTGGGACTTAAGGTGGCTAAGAGTGTGAATCCCTTCTCCATTGGGAAGGATAATGTATTTATAGGGGATTACTTGACCCGGGTTAATATACCAGGTTGACCCATAGATTATGGATCGAGTGGATCAGTCCATGACTCGACTCGGCTGAACTTGAATCTTACAATGGTGTCACGCCTCTGATGGTCTCACCAACTTTTTTTGCGTATTCTGCCTGCAACGAGACCGTCTCTTCGCACGTCCCTTTCGTTCTCAGCGTACGAGTTGGGTCGGCGGCTCAGACGCGGTATGGCTCTTTGTTGAGCCTCTGCTTTTCCCCTAGCTCCTGCGAAAAGTTACTTTCATGTGACACACGCAAGAAAAACGCATTAAATGCCATTTTCGCAGGTTTGTAAAAATATGGGCAATCAAATCAGATTAATCATATTCATATTTTCAATTGGAGGGAAATTTGAATAGTATTCCCGCCCAAATGGGTTACTTATACCTGGTTTGGATCTCTCGATACTGGGATCGGGCTGCCCTGGATGAATGACTTTGCTCTCCGGGTATCTGTGCGGGCCATTTTTCCTTATGTCCTGACCCTTCCGGATCACCGAGTTTAAGTTTAGGACATAGAGAATGTGACATCTCCTCCTCCTGACCACTCAGTTTCTGAGTTCTTTGTTCTTGACAGCGTGGACTGCGCTGTCAGACATGAAGAACCAGAGAACAGGTGGTCTATCGTGCCGGATCTCCCGAATCCAACTAGATTCGAGGTCCGCTGCTATAAACTTAGGCTGTATTGGACCGGATGCCCAATACAATCCTAGTTTGGTTGGGGGGAGGGGGGGTTGGAGGGTGATTCGTCCACGTAGGAAGAATCGGATTTATCCTTAGCAGTTTTCATTAAAAAAAATAATGTTTAACAAAGATATTACGATAATAAAACAAATATGGTCATTAAAATATTACACTCTAATAAAATATATGTTACAAAAAGCATAATAATATTATTTTGGAGTTATATAATTTGTTTACTCATCAGATTATAGAGTAAACAAAATTATGCAAACTTCGTGAAAATTATAAAGTTGAAACCAAAAGAAAATTCTCAAATATTTAAAAATGTTCAACAAATTCAGCTTAGTAAAACCATGTTGACGGCTGCTCTCTTTTGCTCCATGAAACGTGTTACAACCTCATAGAATGATTCATTTGATCCCTGTTAAATCTCTGAAATCATGTTTCTCATCTGGTTCAATCTCTCTTTTGGGTAGAAGTATTTTGATAGTCACTTGTATCCAAACCACGCAGCGATAGATGTGAAACTTAAACCATGTGCTTTGTCACCCAAAGAGAATGAGAAGAGCTGAGATAGTCTAAAAGATTCCCTTTATATTGAGTGATACTGCAATTCTCTTCAAACTTTTTGATATGATAAATGGGGTGCTCTTGATCCAAGCGATGCAACTGATTTTACTCAACAAAATTTATGCGATGTATTGATCCCAAACTCTCCAGGAGGTGATGAATGTATTCATGGATTGATAGCGATTCATGGATAAGACATCTAGTGTATCAAAATCTCCAATGGTGTGATGATGGGGATGCATTTGTGATGATGAGGATGCATCTGCCCATATGAGTACTTGTTAGACTATCTACAATAGACCTGTTGAAAAAATAACTCAACCGTTTAACTCTTCCAATGAGAATATTGAAAAATGACTTTGGCGTACGTGAATTAATTGGAGTTAAAAAGATTCAACTAATTGAATCAATAAAAAGTGGGACCATCAGTGCCACGTAGCACATTATGGAGCTAATGAAAGTTTTTAATATTTTTTTTTCTAACTATTTATAATTATTTATTTTGTAATACATTAATTTATTTTCTAATTTTTTTACCAGAATTTATCATTTTTTATACTCCATAAATAGAAACTTGGTTTATCTAATTTGAACACATAAAAAATTCCTTTTTTATTATAGTTTCTCAGTTATTCTCTAATAAACTCCTTTTTATAATTTATTTTCTTTAATCAAATAGATTACAATAATAACTCTTTTAATATATTTATAATTTAATTTTGAATTAAAAAATTATAAATAGGGCAAAATCATAAAAGAAAATAAAAATATGAAATATCGTGGAATAAGGTTTTAAATTTTAATAAACAAAACTATTATAGAGGTTAAAATTGAATTGGGTGTTGAATGATTAGGTGGAAGAAAGAAAAAATGATGTGGAGTGTTAAAATTTGAGGTGGAGAGTGTTAAATTTAACAACCATTGTACATGGTCTTAGAGTATGTCTATCTTTTACTTATGTAAACATAAAATACACAAAGATAGAGAAGAAAAGTAGCCAAAATTAGTAGAAAGAAAGTAGAAATAAAAAAAAAATTCTTAGACTAAACTTTGGTCTGAAATTTGTAAATAACAGTATTAGTCTTCGATAATGGCCCCAAAAACTTAATATCTCAGATTTTTACCCAAGAAATCCACAGTAATAGTTAGGGATCAAATTTACTTAGGACCAAATAGTTGCTCTACGAGCTTATGATATAAAAATAAAGAAAATACATAAGATATGGGGATTTTGTTTGGTGTGAGGATTATAAACGAAAATCAGAAGTAAATAAACTAAAATGCAAGTAAATATAGAGCTTACTGTATCGAGAATGTGTTAGATATTAAGAAATTTGCAGGGTACTATGATAACACCATGTTTTATCCATTTTAACTAAGAATTTCTCATGCAATTTCAAATATTTTATTTAATTTTTAATGTTTTTATTATGAGTTTCCTATATTTATAATTTGAAGACTATTTTCAGTTTACTTAGGGAAAAACATTCACTACAAGAAAAACACCGCTTTACAACGGCCAAAATCGTCGC